AGCTAGTAATCTTATGTACTATCAAAACATCTTAATAACCTGGTTAGCCCTCAGGGCTAATGATCACACCATACCTCTTGGTCCATAGCTTTGTTTCAGCTTGAGATACAGAGCTGAATGTTTAATTGTCTCTTGAAAATTACACTGTGAAACCTCATATTGAAATATGCCATGCTGGACTTCAAAACAGAAACCCTTAAAGTAGTGAAATAAAAATCTCATTTGACAGGTTGCATATCTGGTAATCATTCTATAAAATTTACTTACCACTTCACAAGTAACAATCAGGAATAAAGAATGGGCATTAACTGAAGGATGACCAAGTTAGTGAAAAGGGTCTTGCAGGCTTTGGTTTTAAGCATCACCTGATTATTTTCAGCAGTTTAGGTACTTTTCTTATCAGATCATTCCCCATGGCAGTGACTTTAAATTTCACATTATGCTTGTACTTTTTCTTGAAAACTGGGGCACAAAAGTGCAGCCTAGTAAAACCCAGAGGAATAATACATCCCAGTGTTTTGCAGGTGAAAAATAGTCGTTCCAGCCTCACTCATGATCAGGTTTTTCTGCTCAATTCTCTGTCTCTGCTGTTTCCTTGCTGTGTGAATTTGGAAAGTGGCTCAAATCCTTTTTTAAAGCTTCTTCATTTCTGTGACTGGGAAGTGATTTAGAATTGCTATGTGGGATCACTGGTGCAACAGCAAGGCACAACTTCATTCTCATTAACTTGGCATCAAGTAGTGTCCAAGGATCTTTATGCTGGAAAGGCCTTCCCATAACCCTGGGTACCTTTGTCCTTCAGTGAGCATGCACGATGCCAGCATGTTCCCAATGTCTTGAATGTGATTACAGCTGTGGTAGGAGCTATCAGCTCCAAGCCTCCTGCCAGCACAAGGAATGCTTGACCTGCTGTGAAGAGCTGGAAACTCACTCCATGTCTCTGAGTGTCATAGGCTGCACACAGCAGCCCACAGGACGGGGAGCTGCTCTCACACTGTAGCACTGCTCTGCAGTTTGTTTGTCAGCAAGACACACACCCGTAGGCATTGTCAAACAAGCTGCTTTTCTAGAGAGGATGCAAATTCTCCAACAAAAGGAGATTTTATTGCCCTTGACTTCAGACAGGGAAATCTGTAGCTGTGGGGCTCCAGAACACAGCCCTTCCTATCATTGCCTCCTCTTAGATCAAGACCTGCCAAACAACATGGCCTAATTAATTTCTCATCAAATGCAGAATTCTACCCATTCACGTTCGTGCTAGTTTTACAGTTATGTGTATTATATAATATTTCTATCTTTTTATATAAAATTTGTAAATCATTTCAGAAAAGGAGCACCTACAAGAGGCACAAACTTGTAGTGACACATACAAAAGAGTCTTTTCTGAGGGTGAGAAACCCCTGAAATGAGCTGCAGCCAGGTGATAAAAAGAGTGGTGACAGATACTGAGAAACAATGGTTCAAAGATATCTAGGAGCCAGTGGGATTTTGGTCATGGTTTTCTTTGAACATGCAGCCTACAATATCTTCCCAGCCCTAATCTCTCCATGTCTACTGGCAAACAAGTGTAGAGGAAGAGTGGCTGCAGCTGGGACTTTCCAAAGTAACTGCAAGTCTTCAAAGGAATATTCTTCTTTCGGATTTTTTTTTCTAGGAGAAGAGTAGGATTCCTTGGGGCTCATAGTGAGGAGATGATAAAAGTGAGGCTGAAGGCCTTCAGCCCCAGCAGATCATTAATAGCCTGTTAAACACTACTGCAAAGTCAGCAGTGCTGTTCCTCATAGAGCACAGAATCTGCAAAAATGCAGGGCCTTTTATGTAGCAGCCCCCAAATGACTCGCCAGGTGCTTCAAAGGCAAGCAGAGTCTCCCCTGGTTTGGACAGAATGCCAAAGTAGAGGAGTAGGAGGGAGGTGGTACAATACAGCAAAGGATGTGGTCACCTGGAAACTGTTCACCCACTGCACATCTGGTGTTTCTGCACAGGCTTTTACTGAAAATAAGAGGTGGTATCATGGAAGGGCAGATGCTACTGATTCACCAGCTGCAGATAATAGTGGGAGGTATTATTTCATGAGGGACTAACAGATGGATCATCTGATGAATAATCTTTCTGATTTTGCTATAAGCTGATTCCTTGAAGGAAATCAAAACCTTTATTTTCCTCCTAGATCAGGAGAAATATGCATTCTCCTAGGTCCTTAATTTAATTTGTTCTTTGACTCCTTTTTAAGCTCTGGAATCTATGTGTAGCAAGGTGAAACTCATCTACCTCTGCTCCTGGGAAACTAGAGATTGCCTTAGTGATATCCATGGAAGCGGCAAACATTTGCTTTTTGGGGCATATTATACATGCATGTGTTGTTGTATCCCACTGTCTCTTTCCAATCTCCATCAAAGTGAGAGACAATGTCTCTTAAGAGAAACATTGACCTTATCTCAGCAAATCCTGGGTGTCCTGGTATTGCTGTTGTGGTGAGTCGACCTTGGCTGGCTGCCAGGCACCCACCCTGATGCTGTCTCGCTGTCTCACCTCCTGTACAGGACAGGAAAGAAAATAGGGTGAATAAGACCACAGGTAGAGATAAAGACATGGAGATCACTTACCAACTGCTGTCACAGGCAAAAAAGAATTGACTTGGAAAAATTATTTAATACATTAACAATTAAAATAGAGTTGAAATGTGTGAAACAAAGACAAAGCAAAAAACTAAAATAGCTTTCCCCCACTGCTTCTTTACAGGCTCAGCTTCACTTCTCCCTTCCCAGTTTCTCTACCTCCTCCATCCCATATCCCCACTGAGCAGCACAGTGGGAGGAGAATGGGGGTTGTGGTCAGTCCATTACAGTTGCTCTCTGCCATTTCTTCCATCTCACAGTTTCCTGTTCCCGCATGGGTCTTCACCCAGTGCTGCTGTCCCCCAGGATAAACCTGCTCCAGCTTCTTCCAGGGCCCTTCTCCTGTGAGGGCTCTCCATGGATGCAGCTTCCTTTGGGCCATGTCTTCATGTCTTCTCCACCTGTGCCAGTGTGGAGTGTGAATATCTGCTCCACCATGGTCCTCTCAACAAGCTGCAGGGAAATTCCTTCTGGAATTTCCCATGGTCTCTCCAGGCTCTGTAGGGAACACCTGCTCCCTCTCAGCCTCACACTTCTTCCCTCACTCCACACTGTAGAGCAGTGAATGAATGCTGAAATTGAGGATAAAGGGTTTCCATTAAAGAATACTTGAACTCTATTTCTCTGCAAATAACAAGAATAATTTACTCTTCAAGGTTATTGCTTCTGCAATGGAAACTTATAAAGAATAGCTGAAGAAAGAAAAAAGATTTCTACAAGTGGTGTTACCCAAGCTGACTGGGTAAGCATATATATGAGACCACTTCAGGAATAGCTTCAGGAGTGTGGTGCAGACAGCCTGAGGTGGACACACATGCTGCAGCATCCCCCAGGCACCTGGCAGAAGAGATGCCCCCATGCACAGCTGCAGAGGAGATGGGCTAGGATGGGCCAGATTTTCTTCTTTTGTGACTTTATGGAAGTCAGCAGTGTTTTGTCACAGTTAATTCAGCACATAAACTTAAATGTTTGTTACACAGGTGAAAAATGCATGCAGTTTGGATATTCAACACTAACCTGATGTGCTGAGGGGGTGTTATGTGCAGAGATGTGTAAAGGGGACAAATGCTTCAGGTCTTTTTGTTCCTGTGTAGAGTACACTATGCTGTTTTGAGTTTTTAGTGTGGCTTGGAAAGGTCACATACGTTTGTAGAAGTCCATTTATACTGCACATACACCCTTTAAATTAAGACGTATATGCAAGCAGCCTCAAAGACACAGCAAAACTTAAAGCTGTTTTTACAGAGCCAAAAGGGATATTCTTCCTTTATCAGAAAGAGGATTTTCTTTTCCAACCTACTTTTTTTTTTCTCTAGTAAATTTTCAGTAATAAAGGCAAAAATGAAATCTCTTCTTTATTTGCACACTTTCAAGAAGCCTACGTCTTAAAAATATTGGAGATTGGATGTGCCAGTTATTAAGATAATGCTACAATTTTCCTGCAGGCAGTACCTAACCAATATTATGTTGTATCTTTGTAAAACAACTGAAATAAAAATTATAGGCATTTTCTGACATCCTTTGCATTTCTTGCACTGTCTCCACTATTTTTTTCAAACAAAATGTTCATTCTTCTGCAAATGTTTAAGTCCAGATCTGCTGTAATCTTTTGCTCCTCTTAGGCCTTGTAGAAAGATAGGTAAAAACACCACTCCAACTTTGCCTTTCTCAAATGTTAAGGAAATATTGTTTTCCTTATGTCTACAAGGAATCTAGGATGTTATTATTCTGTAGATGGCAAATGCAGGAGGACACCAAACCCATTTAAAGTTTTGAAAAAGGTCAGTTTAAGGTGGAAAACTTGGCAACCTAATATTTGTTATGAGAATATGACTGAAATGGATGTGAGAGTTAAGGCAGAATTTTTTCTTTGTTCTTTATCTTATTATTCAAATGTCTGAGTGTGATCTGAGGGACTCTTAGTGGGAAATCTCCACATGAGCAGGGGAATTTGAAACTTTGCACCACTGAACCCTGCTATTCCCCTCTATTTCCAAGGGATAGGGTAAATGTGTGGTGTGGCTCCTCTAGCAGCTACAAACTCACCCACCCATATATTTAGGAATTCCTTGGTACCTTTATGAGTGTTGTAGCCACGTACCTTCACAGAGGTAGACAAAGAGGAGGGCTTAATTTCCTCTTGGAATCAGACTGTAACTGACAGCTAGTCAATTGCCAAGACTTAGCATTTAAGTAACTTATTGGGAACTCTTTATTTCTATCTGAGGGTTTATACTGGAGAAAGTCTGTGTCACTTAGCCCAAGCTGCAGGGAGAACGTGTCACTGTGGATTATAATTGCTGATAGAAGTTCAGTCTGTATGCCACAGTTCACATACATTTTTTATGGACTTATAATTAGTGCAATTCTGGTCTCCTGCAGGTTCCAGCTTTGGAAATGAAGAGCAGACCACCCCCAGGGCACCTGCACCTTCCAAGGATGCTCCCAAGGGGAGCAGCAAAAGCACGACGCAGGTATCGAGCAGCACAGCGACACCACGCAGGAGCTTACTGCCAGCACCAAAACCTGCCACAGCACCCGCTGGTAAGCGCTCCACACTTCAAACACCACCTGCCTTAGGCCGAGAAATGCAAAAACCTTGCTGTGATGCTGTTTACTGTGTGCTTTTAATTAGTTTTCATGCCATCCTTGGGCCCATTGCTGGTGTGCTGATTTGGGCTTCATTTACTGTAGTCTATTTTGAAGGCAGTAAACAACACAGCTATAATCTCATTTTGTGGGTTATGTGTAGAATTGAAGGCATTTACTGTCCCTAACTACACATGCCAGGGATTTAGGGTATATATTGTTGGTTCTCAACAAGCAGTTTTTTGAAAACATTGCATTGCTTTAGAGACCAAAGCATTCCATCGAGCAGATAATTCATTGCTAGGTGTGTTTGCAGTGATGAGGATATTAGCCTCTAGGTTTAAGTCTTCTTTGGTTTTTTTACTCAGAGAGGCAGAAGGAGGCAAGCAAACAAAGCAAAAAAAAATCTTAGTCTTGTTTCCAGATTGTTTCCTTGCCTAAACTCTCCTTCTGCTAAATTCAGTTATGTCTCAAATGACCAGTTCCATCAAGTTCAGATTAGATCTAACAGTTTATATTCCAAAATGAATAATTGTATCCAGGCTGGGTCTTACTCAACAGTGTTTCATCTCTATGTAAGTTCCATTGGGATTGATAACACGTTGCAAATGGAGCTGGGAAAGAAAAGTTGGTGCAAAATATGAGACAAAGACTTTCTGCATTGCTAGTCCTTGTCACCTGGTCTCAAGACAGATTAACCTGTTGTAGTGGTTTGACCTTGGCTGGACACCAGGTGCTCGCCAAACCAACCTGATGGAGGGGGATACATACAATAAAAGGCCCATGGGTCAAGGTAAGGATGAGGAGATAACTCAGCAATTACCATGTCATAAACTTGCCTGATTTATTCTGGAAGGAAACTAACCTGGAAGTAGGGTAACCTGTCTGTGTTATGCAAACAGTCAGACACAGATCCTCAACAGGGGCAGCTGACAAGTTTAGGAAGTTGTTATTATACACAACAGACAGAAGCAAAAGAAACTATGATAGTCCAATGTTCTGGTTTAATTTTTTTAGGAGCCAAGTTAGCAGCAATTCATGATATTTTAATTTTATTTTTTTAATTAAAAGAGTGTCATGGTCCTTCAAAAAGGTAAGTATTTGATAGGAGCAAAGGTTGAAATAAATTAAAGAAATTATGAAGGTAAGTTTTTTTTAGCAGTTCTCATCTTGCCTCTCTTGCAATAGCATATGAACACTGGGTGTAGATCCCAATGTGATAGAGATACCTACAGAATGTAAATTTCTCTGTTTAGGTATCCTTTGGACAGTGATTTCTATAGGCCTGATGTTGCATATATATTTAGCATCTGACCAGTCTCCTGTGCAAGACATTACATTTACTAAACTGAAGTGCTTAGAGCTCTCCACAGTTACAGCTGAGGAGCACAGACACTACGTGTATTGCACACAGCATATTTTATGTAAGGAAGGTGGAAAGTATTTCACAACGAGGATGGCAGTGATTTAAATATAAATAGTATTTCTGAAAGAGTGCAATATCGGATAATGTAAAAATTACCTTTGTATTTCAGAGATGTACATGATTTTTATCTATGTATGAATAGTAAATTCATTCACAAATGAAAATATCTACCTATATTAATGAATGAAAAATAGCCATGAAAAATCACATGAAAGCGTTCTTGTGTTAGATATTTCTTGAGAAGACCACATGAACTGTAAATTTTCACTTAAAAAAATATAAAGACACAACAGCTCAAGAGCCATTATATTCCTGATATTTCACTAAAAGTGCTTGTGAAATAAATTGGACTGCAGGGAATAAAAAAATATTTAATTAATGAAAATGGACTCCTTTAGCTTCTGCTGTGCAGCAGATGATGCTGTGCTTCAGATGATCAGAAAAGAATTCTGGCATGGGACAATAGCAGTGGAAGATCGTTGTCATGCAAATTGTTTTGCAGGCATGAACTGATGGCCTTTCAACTGCTCTTTGAAAAGAGTGCACTTAATTATGTTTCAGTGTATTGCACAGCCCTTTTTATATTTACATGTCTGTCAATTTATAGAAAAGGGAAAAGAAAGCACATGCTTGACTAGAAAATGAGAGGTCTTGTAATTTCACTTAAATATATTAGCTACTTCTGCAAGTGCAGTGATAACCTAACTAAAACTTACCATTTCTGTATTGCTTCATATTTTGTTTAATGATAGGTGAAAGCAGGTCTCCATCAGGAACTCTGCAACTATAATCTAGCTCTGAAATTCATATAAGCTTCCTCTTTCCACAGATGTTGATTAAAATATATAGTACTTGAAGCATGCATATATTAATTTTCTGGTTTAAATTTCCCTTGAAATGGGGGAATATCTGCAGAAGACAATGTTCAGAGACTCAGTTCTGTCCACCAGGCTGGATCTGCCACCCAACTGTCTGTGAAATCAGAGAGCTGTGGGATTTTATTTTTTCTATGCCCTCTTAAGGAATTTGAGGAGTGTGTGTTATGAGATTCTTATTTCTACTTGGTTGTTATTTAATAACTGTTGACATGCATAAGAAATATCCTAATTTGGGTGCAATGACAGTGGCAATAAGGTATTCATTTGAGCAGCTTGTTCCTACTTGGCTCCCTAAATTAAAGACAATCAAAAGCATTGTTTAAAACATTCACACAGTCAATTGCTGTGCTTCTACAAGTACCAGTAAATCATATAGAACAGGACAGGCTGTTAAATGCAATCAGTCAAGATGAAAAATAAGAGGCCAGTGTTATCTCAGCTCTCACCAGCAATCTTGTAGTGCAAAATGTGGGTTTTTTTATCAGATTCTGCAAACTCCAGACAGCAGAATGTCAGCAGGAGGGAGAGGGATGAGCTGAGGTCACCTGAGGGGGGAAGTGTGAGCACCAGCACCCTTGCAGGGATGAAGGGAGAAGAGTCTGCTGCTGCTTTGTTCCCCCTTGCAAACACTTTTCCTTCCAAGCTGAATAGCAGTGTGCAGTGGTTTACATTCATATTGTTCCTGTACTGAACACTGGGATATGCAGCACTACCCTGCAGGTGAAAGTGGGAGCTCATCTGCAAGTTTTCTTACCTTTCTTCTGGGAATCACTCTGAAACATGCCATAGCACAGCTGAGTGAGGAAGTGTCTTGGTTTGAAATTTCAGCCTTAAACAGGAGGAGACAATAAAATGCCATAGGATCCATGCAAAATGGCAGAAAGAGGAGTAGTTGTTTTAACTCTTCAACTAATGTTGGATGTTCTGAATTACCCTGACATTTTCTATTCAGTGCAAAGAATGATTAATTTTATCAGGTTTATTTTTTCCTTTATTTTTTTAAACACGAGCTAAAGAAACTTTGCTATTTTAATACAAGAACAAGGCAACCGTTTTCAGACAAGACAATTAAATAGTTGTTATCATTTTTTTCTTATCAGATTGACTTTAAATTTGAAACAAACACAAAGGGAAAATTAGCAGTGTCTACTTCAAGAAATACATAGTCATTCTTCCAGTCTTTATTCAGTCGTTCAGTGTCTCATAGATCACAGGAAGAAGAGAGTCTCTAGAGAGAATTAGACTGCTCCCATTCTACAGAATCTATCATATTTCCAGCTTTGTTCATTTTGTCTCAAACAATGCATGCAGGGATATGTCATTACTCACCAAGGACATGACTAGCCGTGGGTATCAGGGGAAAGGCAGAAGAAAACTCAAAGAGGCTCCCTGTGTCTGTGAGTGACTAAAGATATTTCCTTGGGTTTGTTTTTTTTTTTTAACTTGCATACTTCATTAGTTAACTTATAAAATACTCCTGAGAACAGTTGGAATCCAACTGAATGCAGTTAGTCCCATTGAATTGTTAATGATGTCTACAGCATGCTAGGATTTGTTCTGGAATAAATACTCAGTGTACAATTTGTTAACTTGCTTTCCGTCTGAAGTATGAAAGCAAATTGAAGCCCATCCCAGTGTACTGGCTTTTGAAGACTCAAAAATGTACAGGCAAATAAAAGTGCTGATTCTGCAGTGCTTGAGGAGATATCTTTGACAAGGTATCTTTTGCTCTGGTTCCTAGGCTAGCATTCAGCACTGCTGGGGGAATGGAAAAGTGGCTTTGTTTGCCTGCTATTTTTCTAAGTGATTTCTGGAATGTTTTGCCTTGTGTTTTCCAATTATTTTTGCATTTGCTCCTTCTCTTTCATTTGGAGCAGGCTGTGTATGTTAATTAGGAAATGTAAATACCTTTACAGAACTGTGTGTATAGAGGCCTTTTTCAAAAGAAAATGTTTTTAAGCACACTAGCAGAAAAGACAAACAAATATTTCTGCTCATTGTTCTCTTACAGCCTGAAATATCCATTTCATTATGCAAGTGTAGCTTTTAAAAGAGGGGAAATGTTGAGAGGTTTCTAACCTTAAATGGAGTATAAATTCACATAAAAATTAATACTTTGTGACTTTGACTACTGGCTTCCAGAAACCAAATTTCTCACTGCATGAGCTCTGTCAGTTGTTGAGGGTGGCAGAGCCTTGGAAAGTGTTCCAGAAAGCCTGGAAGTTAGTGGTAGTTCCTGAGATACCAGGAGCTTTTTGCTGGGAAGCTCAGTGCTAAAAGCCCCGATTCTGCACGAATAAGGCTAATGCACAGGCATTTAACACAGGGCTAATTAGAATTCCATATTTCCAGTCTGTGGGCAATAACATTAAGAATTTGAATAAAATTTGTTCCAGATCAGATTTAATATACATTATAAAAGATGAATTTAGAAGAAAATGAAAAAAGTGTGCAAGTTCAAGAAATATACACTTATGGTGCTTAATTTCCTTTTGTAATTTCATGTAATTTTTATTCTTTTATGATTGCACACATAACACCTTTTGACATTTCAAAATACATATGACAGGATATGATTTGAGGTTTTACATGTGTTCAGGCCTGTAATAACAACTGAATAATGTTTGTCTTCTTTCCTGAGTTACCCTGGAGCAACAGACCTGTTTTGTGCATTTTAGTCTTTGAATTACTTTTCATACACTTCAGGCTAGAAAGGATCAAACTTTATAACCTCCTGCTGCACCATACCCTGTGCTACTGCACATTATGCTGATTACTACACCAGTGCTCTCCCTCAGTTATTTTAAACTTGAAATTCTATATTTCTGTGAAATGACAAAATCTGGGCCCAAACACTTGTAATCTAAAGATTTATTTTCCCTGCAGGAAATCAACATGTTTTCTGAATGTTTCTCTTTGAACCAACTAACAGCTGTTGTTTCAAAAGACAAGAACAAGCCCTATTTTTAGAAAAGCATTCAAGTCAAGCTCTTATATGAGGTCTGATGCCAGGGATGGCTCTTCCCCTAAAATTTCCCTGTGGGTGATGAGCTTAGCAAAACGATAACAGCTTGTTCCCGCAGACCGTCCTTCCTTTTGCCTGCTGTGTGCTTTCTAAATCCCTCTCCTCTAAGGAGGGCCACAGAGAGGCCACCAGGGCCCTACTACTTTTGAAGGAGAAGCTGAATAATAGCTAGCTCCATGTGTCCCGGTCCCTGTCCCCTTCCCAGCCAGGCTGTGCTGGGCACTGGCTCTTCCCTCGCGGCACAACCCCTCCTCCCTTGCCCGCTTACTGCGCCGCTGCCTCACCAGACCTCAGGAGCTCTCCTAGTCTTTTAAAATTAACAAGGGCGCTGATCTTCCTTGTTATTAGTCCTGCTTATCTTTCCTTGCCCAGATATCTGTCTGCACCTTCTTTCTGCTGGTCTTCCACTTTCTGGAGCCAACGTTCCCTCTGCAGCTGCGCTACCGGGCAGCGCCCGTACACGGCTCCCACTGCTCTGCACAGACCCTGCCTTGCGCTCTGCAAAATCCTGGCCTTCTTTGCTCCATTTTCTTTCAACCAAGCTCTAACTGGGGAATTGTTTCTTGTTTTGTGCTTAAGGTCAAGGGACTGAGTGCATTCCCCAGGTGTTCCTCATTGAAAATGTCTCAAAACCAAAAGTAGTGAATTATTTACATGCCTAAGGAAAGCATAAGGAAAGCACATGCTTTTCTCTACTGTTGTCTGTGTTTGGCATATGGCATAGCAATATTTATGAAAGAATTCAGTATATGGCCCATTTGTGCATTATATTTTTATTTTGAAAGCCCAAGAAAAACCAAAGCCTTATTACCGTGAAAAAGTGATGTTTGAATCTATAACTAAATAAACTATGTCTTATAAAGCAAGCCCTGGTTTTGTCTCACAGCTGTCATCTAAGGAAGGTCCTTAGTAATGAAAAGGCACCATAAACTTATTTTATGTCCTACTCTGTAGTAAACTACAGTGTAATAGGGGGCAGGCATGGGCAATTTCTATCTTTATTCACCTCACTGTGAAAAGTATTAATCACAAATGAGAATCACAGCCTCAACATGTTGTATTTAGGAACAGCAAAGAAAATGGAGATGGACAAAAATAAAGGTATGAGCAAGTGTTCAGTCTTTACAAGCCCCTGACAGCTGATGGTGTGATTTGCCTATGAACAGCGGAAGAGAGTCAAAGAGGGTTTCAGAACTTGTCCCATGCCTCCTTCCCACAAACAGTTGGACATGCAGGTACATGTGCTCCTTCCAGAAGCACTCTGCAAGCAAATGCTGAGAGACAGTGCTAGGAATTACACAGCTCAGCTTCTGGTGTGTGGCAAATGCTGCATCTGCAGCTCTCTGCATGCAAGTCCTGATGCAGGCAGAAGTAGAAGGGTGAAAGGTGCATCAGAAATAAACCTATATATACTGCAGCTGTGACTAGGCGTGGCTTTGGAGGGAGCAGAAAACTAGTAAAGCAGTAAATGTCCCTCAAGATTATGATCCCCATATGAAATTTCCATTTTTCTCCACTGTTGAAAGAGCCAGGTCACATTTTGTATTAAGCAAAATGGAAGATAGCATTAGCTTTCAGACTGCCACTGTCATTAGGCACCACCAAGAAAATCTGATTTTTTTTCCCTGCTTCAGATACTTCAGATTCTGTGGGACATTTTCCTATAAGATATCTGTGAACATACTCATAAGAGAAGGGAAAGTCAATAAGGCAGACTTTGTTTTCCCTCTATAGCAAGTCATTTGCCTTAAATCTCTCTGTTTTTCCTGTGTATCCAGGTGCTTAGACACAGCCCTTCAGGCTAAAATGCAACCCTCAACAAACACTAATGGTTAAAAAAAGGAAAGCAAACAGGAAAATACATTATTGTCCCAGAGGTTTGCTTTTTATTGCTCTTTCTCCTTACTTCTTTGATGAAAAATTTCTGCTTGAGATCCTGTGACTGTCGCACCATGTCAAAGGAGCAGGGCAGGACCTCATGTTACTGCACTCAGCATGGTCCCCACAGCTATTTTGATGGGAGCTGTGGGTGGGCAGGAGGAGCTGAGCTTGGGTGGCCACTGGCTTTCAGAGGAAGTTGTGTCTCCCTGGTGCAAAGGCAGTCTCTGACTGCAGAGCTCTGCCTGGCAGAGCATCCCAAGGCCCTGACCAGAGAGCTCCAGTGGTGGGACAAATAGCAACAGACACAGAGCTGCCTCTCTCAGAAATATTCCATGCCCTGGTTCATCCCCAGTAAACCTGCACAGCGTCTTGCAGGTTTGTGCCCCAGTGTTCTTGCCCACCTCTGTCCCTGCCTGCCTTACTGCACAGACAGAGACCCACTCTCGTGTCCTGGCAGCCACATCCAGCACAGCTCTGACACCTCCTGCCTGCTTCTGCTTCTCGCCTCTCTCTTCACTACATGAGACCATCTTGGAAAGCTGGTCTCCAGAAAAAGCAGCTTCCTTACCTGTGGAAAAGGTGACAGGGCAAGGACTTGCAGGCAATTTCAGTCAGCTTTGCAGTCCTATTCCATTTCTCCTGCAGCCCAGAATAAGGTTGCACGGCAAGGTGAAGAGACAGAACACAGCACTGAGAACAGATAGGATGGGTTAGCTGTGTAGCTGTTTGTGCCTTAATGGCATTTGTCATGGTGCAGATGACTGGAAAGCCAAGGTAGTGTGTAAGGTGTTCTTCTGTCCTCCTTCAGTGCTGTGCATGCCAGCTCAGCTGCACATACACAGTCGTGGTTGCAGACATGTCAGGTTGGCATCCAACTCAGAAGTGTGTGTAGCATCATTCTGTGCAGAGCCCAGGACATGTATTGGTGAAATACATTTTGCCATTTTGATGTGTATCTTTGTGACACAGTTCTGCAGAGTTATGAACAGAATAATAAACCAGGTGTCTTTCTACCTTTGATATTTTTTTTCCTAAAACAGGTGTGAAGAAAGAAGTGCAAAAAGATCAGGATGCCAGCAGACCAGCTGTCTCATCCCCTAAGAAATCAGCAGTAACAGCCACAAAACTCCATTCACCAGGTATTTATGAACCTGAAAGTCTGTTTCAGGAAAGATTTAAACTTGTTGACTTTGCATCTCTTGTTAACACACTCAAATCTGAAACCTACTATTGTTAAGTGAGGATTGATTGTGTCCAAGGTTCATTAAGCTGGCTACAGCAGGTTTTATCATAGCAATGCATGAGCTGAATAGACTTTTGTTCTCCTTGTTATAACCATGCAATCATCTCTCTTCCAAAGCAAAGAGTTGTTGCTATTACATGTCTAAGGGCACAGGAACATTTTTTTTATCATTACAATTTTCTTATGTAAGAAGAGGACAGATACATATAGCAAAATAAAAGACACCTCAGAGAATTGCCTGGAGTGATAATGGTTGCTCTCTTACTTTTATGCAGAGGCACTAAATTTCCTGGGCTATTTCTGTGCATAGCTGGAAAAGGGATTATCTATAGCCTCCAAAGTGCTATTGGGACATTTTCAACTTATACCTCAATATTGGGCACAAACACATGGTTTTACCATTTCTGAAGAATACTTTTTTTTATTTACTAAAACAAGGGAGTTTGTTTCTATTTATGTCTACTGAGTGTACATTAATAAATGGATAAGGTGCCTAAAGGCTTTTGTGAGGCCGACCTTTGGTTGATCTAAATGCTTCTGAAATGAGTGTGCATGGTCCCACTGATTTCATTGTGCTTGCAGTTTGTCTTCTGTTACTTCATTTTTAAGACTGCTTGAATACTTAAAGTGTCATCTCTACAGCTATGTGATACTTAAGTTATAACTGTGGGGGATAGAACCCCAGGTTGCTTCATTTTGTGGCAAAATATAAATAATGTAGAACAGCTCTCCAGCTCCTATAACTTGCACCAAGAGCTTCTCCATTATTATTAAACTCAATCTCTACTCTTCTTCTCAACTAAGAGAATCAATAAAATGGAAGGTTAAATTTAATCTTCTCGGGCACCAACAGGACACAAAATTCCTCTCCTTACAAAGATACTAGAGTAAAAAGATGAACTTAACACTGTCCTCTGAGTCATATAATTTACAGGCTATTTTGCACCTGGTGAGATCACAGAGAAATCCAAAGAATTTGTTGCAGAGGGTGCCGGACCAGAAGCTCACTGGTGCTTATAACGGCGGGAGTCCAGTTTAAGCATCAGCACTGATTGTGGCTGCAGCAGCGTGTTACAGCTCAGCTGATTTGCTTCTACTAGGATTACAAAGCAAAATGGAACACTGGAATATTTGTACAGAGTATTTGTATTGTCTTAAGGAGGTCTGCATCTCCACGGCTGATTTGATAATTTTCAAGGCCTAAAGTTTTGGTATATTCAATTCATGAGGCCTCAAAGGTTTCTTCATTCTCATGAGGTTGATAACTGACCTCCATCCATCAGACTGGTTAAAAATTTGTTCAGCTTGCTTGTCTGCAATTAAGCCAATGTAAATTTGTTTATCACTCTAAGGATCAAGTAGGAAAATAAACCTCATCTTCATTTATTTTTTAGAGTAGCCTTTGGCATTCTTTAATAAATGCAGCAATAACAAAGCAATCATGACCATTTTTTCACCTATTTAACAATTTCAAAAAATACCCAAAGCAACCTTTGAAGAGGACACACAGTGTAGCTGATGCTAAGGGGCAGTCACAGACTTTCCTTCATCAGAATCACAAGCTTCTGCATCCTTTACACTTTTTGATGGGAGAGAAGGTGTCTCACAGGTAATTCCACCACAACTACACCTGGCCATGAAACAGGTTCCAAAATTTCTGAGTGCTGTTTCTAGATTGTATTTGCTTCTGTTACTGGCCTTCTCACATTCAGTTCCTTTTAATCAGTGCTGGTTTTTGACTGTTGGACACAAATTTTTTGAACTTTGAGTCTGAAGACTTGCAAGGGAGTTTTGAGATGCAGTGCTGCAGGGATCTCAGTTTTATCCTTTGATGCAATACTCTTCCTGAGATCTGTCTATAGAAACAGGTGTCCATAGATGCAAGTACTCTCCTTCCACTCCATTTTAGAATGGAGCCAACTGCTTCTGGCATCTGTCACTCTACAGAATGCTTGATAACAATTGCCTCTAAGTAATTTGCTCACTTTCCTCACCAAAATGTTGGAAATTGGACAGTTAAAAGGAGAATTAATTGCATTCCCCATCTAAATCCTCATGGACAGTGTTAATTATGAGTATATACTTGTTGTGTCTCATTAGTTCAAACAGTCACGTAGATAAAAAAGACTTGGGAGTTTTGAAGCGGATCAAAGGAGTACAGTGATTTCAGCACACACTGGGTCTGCCCCTCTGGTCCCACCATCAGCAAAAAGGACATTGAGGATAAGGGCCAGCATCGTTAATATATACCCTGTTTTGTGCAGAGCAACAGAAGAGAGACATCAATGGCAGAATAAGCTTAGTAAGCTGCCTTTCAGACCCAAATGAACCGAGAAATTCAGATTTATCCCTGAGGAGAATAGCACCGTTTAATTTACAAGGACAGCTTATAATACTGACAAGGACAATACAGAGATGTGCACTTCAAATCTTCCAGTGAACAGGAAGGCTAGAGAGATGTAAGACTAAGCAACCTGATGGGTTTCTGTTTTAATTAAAAACTGAACTAATTTCAAGGGCTTTCCCCTACACTTCTCCCTAAGCTTTCTGTTGTAACATCTCTGTCTTGCTTAAACAGCCCAAGATTTTTTATACTAAGAAGACAGATATTTATGGCTCTTGCTTTTATGAGTTTCTTATTTTGTGGTATTACCTACTACACAGCTGAGAGACCCTTGACATGAATGGAAGAGTCTGTATTTTCTTATTACTGCGCAAAAAGGTTGACAGGCTTCAAGTGACATAAAAATGGATAGAGGACAATACCTATGCTGCTTGAACTCTCTTAATGACAAAAACTCCTTGTGCTGTATTATTTGGGTCCTTGAATGACATGGCATTAGTCTTGATGCTGCAGAACATGGTATTCTTTGTCACAAATGCAGGCCATGGACACAAAGAATTTCAAAGGGATTTTTTACACTCGTGGCTCTTTGCAGCTGAACCACAAGATGCTTGGAGAAATGAGGGGGCATCTCTGCTGGAGCTGGCACCCTGTAAGCTTAGCCTGGAGCCAGGATGTAGCTGAGCAAGATTGAAGATATGCTCCCAACAGCTCTGTACAAGCTGGGAATCTGAAAAAGTAGGAATAGGCTCCTGGGGTTTTGCTCTGGGGAAGCCATACTGTTCCCCTGCCTGATCTTGAAAAACTGCTCTTAGGATCTATTTGCAAACCCAGACCACAGTCTTAAAGACCTAAAAGATCTAAAGTACATCTGACAAAATTACTTCTGGAATTTGTAATGCTCTACTTTACAAATTGGTTCAGATTCATACCATCAGAGGCATCTCTGTAGAGGGATTCTTTGGCTTTTTAGGAAAAGGATAGGTAGTATTCATGGCAGAAGACTGTCTCCTATTACATTGATTGCTGGAGACTGGTTGTACACATGGTTTCTGTATTGTTTTCAGGAACTGGATACTACAAGACTATAAAACTACAAACTGTCCCCCTTTATCGTATTCTTGCACACACAACCTTTTCTACTAACACAGAAATGTTCCAGGCCCACGTCCACCATCTCTAGTAACACATGGGATGAAGGTGTCTGACTCATATTTTCTCCCTTTTTCTTACTGACTTTAGCTTCGAGGGTAAAAGCTGGAGGATAATGGGAGGATCTGTTGAAGACTGGAGGTTCCTGGCCAGTATTCAGGAATGAACTAAAGACCATCAACTGAGGGGTAGCAAAAGGGTAGCAAGAAAGACTGAGCAAAAAGAGTCACTAAGCTGTGCAAAGGTGATGCCCAGCTGGCCATAAATGTTTGCAGAGGAGAGTTCTGAGAAAGCAAAGAAGGTAAAGACAGAGCAGATTTTCCAAGCAGTGGCTTGAGCAGTTCGATGTCACCAGAATACTGCCCCTTCTTGCTTCATCCTCATAACTGGGTATATCCACAGAAATGGATAGTTGACTCAAGCAGGATGTGAACTGAGGGAAAAAAGCTCCACTTTTCTGAAGTGGCTTATCATGAGCATGCTTCAGTTCTGGTGCCATTGATAGAAATATGACACTATACCCTAAACACAAGCTACACTAGTGCTTTCACATGCTTGTACAGCATCAGGCTTGCTTCAAGCCAACTTGGAGCACATCAAATGAGCCAGAGTCTGTCTGGGCCTATTTCTGCAGGCAAACAATGATTCTGGTGTGATTAATGATTCCAAGAGAGCAGCCATGCAGAGCCAGTGATGTAACTCTTGTGCACTGTGTGGCACTTGGTGGCACTTCAGTGCATATCTGCAAAGTGCTGCAATTTTGGACATGTAAAGGTGAGAGCAAGGGGAACTCTCAAGGTAGACTGCAGTATTGTAGATAAAAAGTGGTATCCCATAGCAAGCAATCCATGCTAGGTTTGCATTCAGGGAGGGACAACTCCAGCACCACATTGTCCTGTGTAGAGGCAAAATGAAATCTGCAAAGGCAAAGGAAAACTGGCACCTCTGTCAAGTCACCAGGCTGGGGGTTCATGTGAGCTAAGATACCATGTGTAGAGTAGAAATGTCACCTAGCTGTTTTCCTTGTCATCAACAAGATAAGGTGAATCCTCACCTGGAAGTGCCCATTTCTCTCACTGCCATTCAAGAGAGATGTAGACCTCTGTTCTTGTAGATGTCTAGCAGAGGTGAGCTGCTTCCTTCCTCCAACAACCTCAGTTCTCAGTGATACACTCTTTGGACAGCTCTCCTCAGCTTGTAGAAGACTTTCAGGCTCAGAGCCTGAGGTGAGATTGACTGTTAAAGAGCTTTGACCCCTAAAGAAACATATTTCACTATGTTTTTGTTTGTATGTTTGTTTGTTTGTTTGTTTATTTTGAAAGACTGGAAGTTCTTGGTGAGTGCTACAGACCTTTTTTTCTTTTGTAGGGATGAGTCCCAGAGGCCATAGAAACACATAAAGGTCATGTCTGTACATGTAAACTAAGTGACCTGGATGGTCTTTTCTTCCCTCCTTTGTAGGACATCCCAAGCAAAGGCCAACCACCCCAAAGAATGGATTCTCCCCCAAACCAGGAGAGGGGCGAGACACTGAAAAGCAGTTTATACAGAAACTGAAGGAAAAGTGTGATGAGCAGTCCCGGCAATTAATCAATACCCAAGATGAGCTTAAAAGGGCCAGCTGTGGCTTTGATGTCTTTGCTATAACAACACAGTACTTTTTCAGGCAGGTAAGTGCAATTCTTACCATTGAAAAGATTATTTGCCTTTACACGTGTCACTTGCCCAAATTTATTCCTCAGTCACTGAAGATTTGTTCTTGGGACCAAAGCATGTAATTTCTTTACAATGATTATTATGAGAAAGGAATTCAAATTTCATAGAATTATAGAAAGGAAAACTGCAATGACAAAGGAAATCTGGCACCTCTGTTAAGTCACCAAGCTTGAGGATTGGGTGGCCAAAGAAATTGTGTGTGAAGTGTAGATGCCATCCAATCTGATAAGTTGAATAATTTGATGCCATATATTTGAAAAAAAAAGCGTAGGAGCTTGGAAAAGGAAGTATTTTGAATGAAGTATTTGTTACAAGCAAAGGCTTTTAGGAGTAAAGGAGATCCAGAAACTTAGAAGCCCCAGTCTCTGATTGCTAGAGCTGGAATGGAAAGTGTAACTGAGATATTAATGCTTGTGAGCAACCAAAGCTGTTAGATGAAGGAAGCAATTTGATTTCCCTCAATAATTATCCACTCTTCCTGTTCACCATGGATTGGGCAGGGTGTCCCTGTCACAGGGTTGCCAGTTCCTGAAGATGTTAGGATAACATTATCTCAGCATGCAGAAGATTACACACAGCAGGTATAGAGAACATAAAGAAAATGTTGCTGGTAATTAGAGAACCTTATTTATTCACTCAAGTCAAAATGAATACATTTTAAGAAAACCAAAATGAAACACGTGAAGGTGTTGCTTGTTTCAAAAGCTGTTTAGTGATCTAGGAAATGTAGCTGGGCTCTGAGGTCCAGACCTGGATCACACCATGCCCATGTATTTTATAACATCCCAGGTTAAGCTGGTATCCTGGCTACCTTGTAAAACAGGCAGACAATTCCCAGCAGTAGGACCCAAGGCTTGGATAACACCCTTGATGGCCTGTTTGCCTACTTTTGGAAAAGACAAGAATAAATTTTCTGTATTAAATGGGAGAAAGAAAAGCAAGGAAACAAAATCTAAATTAAGTGAGACTTAAAAATTCTGAAATACTTTATTTAGTTTTGGGGGTTTTTATATTAATGGGAAAGGTTACCTTTGAATAAATAGCAGTTCATTCTCTTCCCTAAGTCGGAGCTGATCTTGCCAGGGAGGATTCACTGAAGTGAAAAAACAAGTTCTTAAAATGTCCTAAATATTTTAAATACCTTCCCAGGAGATCTTCCGCCTCTATTTTTCTGTAGACTTGACATTTCTGTATCTCAGGGCTTGTTAGGTATTTCTAAACCTTTTTGGATGGGTTTAGGTTTTTGTTGCGGTTTTTTGGGTTTTTTTGGTTTTTTTTTTGTTTGTTTGTTTGGGTTTTTTTTGTTTGTTTGGTTTTTTTTTTTGAGTTGGGTTTTTTTGGTAGGGTTTTTTTTTTAGTTTGGTGGTGTTTTGTTGGGGTTTTTGTTGTTGTTGTTGTTGTTGTTTTGTTTGTGGTTTTTTTGAGCTGGCTGTGGAGTATCCTTGTTTAAATCAGAGGGAAATAAAAAAGGGCAGAGCATTGTCAGCTCAGCTTTGTCTGTGCACGGTCCACTGGGGAGAGATTTTTCATCACATTCACAATTTCCGAAGGAGCTCTCATGTCTTCTTCATCTCCTCTGGATATGTTTTAAATGAGAACAGCTGCTGCAACTGAGCTTTGAAATGACTGTTCTGCTGTTGGTGCATGTTGGATCTGTCCTGAAAATGCCTCCTAAATTGAACAGCTCAGGTGTCTTTATTTAATAGCATCCTCTCCAATTCTGGCCAAGCATAGCTGCACCTCATATTCCCAGCTCCTCTGTGTTTCTCAGGCCAGCTGGGGGATTGCAGTAATGCTCCTCTGAGTGCCTGGAGATGAAAAATAATACACCTGTGGAATTTAGGCACCTTCAGGTTTGGGCAGGATTAGATGTAGATTTGTTCCAGATCCATGCAGATGTGGTACCTCCTTTAGGAGTATGGTTGCTTTAGGCTCCATTTTTAGTGCATGCAGGCAGGTGAGCACTTCATGAAGACTATTTAAAGCACCAAAGACCTGAATTTCTGCTTGAGTTAACTCGCCTGTCTCATCTGAGACTACCAGGGAGCACTAAGGCTGCTGCATTCTTAAATTCACTGCTTAAGCTGAGAGCCTACATACAGTGGGACAATCTGGGACTACTCAAGCAGTTGTGTAACTGGGCAGTCATTTGTCTTGCAATATAGACACAGCCTTACAAGTTCTTGAGTGTCATTTGAAAATACAATCTGTAGGCATTTTCTGAGGTGGCATTATTGTCTGAAGGCTTGAGCAAAATTGAGTTGGCTGTCTTTGAGCATGGGAAAAAATAAACCAACATTTCACATTATAAAAATAATAAGTTGGGTGTATCTGTTTCTGAGAACCCTGCAGGCAAAATGGTTGAGGTCTGAGTGGAATTGCAGTTTGGCAAAGGACAAACATTAATTCAAGAAAAAGGTGCAACCTTATTCCTGAGAAGTTTGGGGTTGATTTGTCCAGCTAGCAGTTCCACTCTTGTTTAGCAGAGGGCCCAATCCTGCTTTGATACGAGGGAGCCTTTTTTGGGCCAACAGTCCTTTGTGTCCAATGTCTTTCTCCCCTTACATCACAGCAAAATAATGTTCAAAACATAGATTTTTCTCAGATTTGGACCTAAATTCTGTTGTAAAATGTGCTCCTAGGCAGTGAGGACAGGACTGAGTCTTAAAAAGAATCCAAAGACCAGTGTAGGTGGTAAGTAGGTGCAAGAAGGCCCATGCCTGTGGCTCTCTTGTCTTGCTTACACTGTTTCTCTTCTCTTTCCAAAGCTGAGGAAAGCACCAATGCAAGTGGTCCAACAAACATGGTTAGCTGTGTAGAAAGAGAGTGTTGTATGTAATAGAGTGTTGGACCACACTAGCAGTTTCTATGAGTGATTCAAGATTACATGACCATTTTCTTATAATTTTGTGGATTTGTTTTCTGACTGTTTCAGACCACTGCTGAATGGTATCCTGGAATCATCACTCTTCATCATCTGAAATGCTCTTTATTTGCAAGATTCTTTTAACTGGCATCTAGAAGTGCACAACGTGTAGCAGTATTTAATGCAGACCCATTTAATGCCACTTAAAACAATTTTCTATCCTTGGGAAAAGCCTAGGCAATTGAAGCAGGTGATAACTGAGGCAGTAGACGTGAAAAATATTAAAGCAGTGGTTCTGACATAATCATGAGAATAATGATTGCAGTGCCTCTGAAGAGCATGGCTTTTAATTATTAGTTAATTAGCAGATGTATTAGCTTAAGACCCTCGTATATGCACATGACTCTTGTTGACTTTTGGAACTGCTTCAAATTGATTCTGAAGAGGAGCAGATTAAATGTGTCCTTAATGTTGTCAGATGTTCCTCTTGCCCATACAGCCCTTGTGCTGTGCTGGTATTGCAGAGTGAACAACTCAGTGATGGGAGCTGGAGTGATACCAGGAAGAATTTTTAGAGCAAATATTTCCAGAGCCCTGGTCTGGATCACTCCTCACCTGCTCTGGCTTGTTAAGCCAGTGATAGTGGCAGTCCTGGCCCAGTTTCAGCCCTGTTCATAGAAGTGCCCGGCAGTGATCTCTCTTGGAAGTGGTAACAGTGCCATCTAAAGGGGAGTAACCCAAAATGACAAATCCGGGAGAGAAAAGCTTTCTGGACAGAAAAAGGGAGGGGGGAAAAAAATCCTTTTTTGCATCTCTAGTACACCACAGAAGTGTTTGTGTTGGAAACTGGGCTAATGGCTCTCACAATCCAGAGAGGCAGAAAGTGCAGTCCCAGGTCTGCCTCTGAAATTTCAGAGGAGGGCTCTAGAGCTCCAGTGCATGTGAGGAGAAGCGATCCTTTCTGGGCTGCAGCCCTCAAGGGTGGGAGCAGGTGAGGGAAAGGGTTATGCTGGGGTGGTCTGTCCTGTACTCTGCTTGGGCCTGGAGGAATTTCCAGACCTGAAGCATGGCCTCTTGGTATGGTTTTCATCAGGGAGAAACTCCTCAGGACAGGTGTGGGAAATGGATTTGATTTTGTCTGTGCGAAATGGATCTACAAATCCATCTCTCACAGACAGGTCCCAGCATCAGTGCAGCTGGATCAGCTGGGAATGGAGGAACCACAGAGATATCCTGAACAAGAGGTAGAACAACACTGCAGTGTTTGGTGACATCCCAGAATTTTGTGTCTACCAGGACTGGGAAAGGCATGTCACCAGTAGCCAGAGAGTGTGTGTCTGCACACCTAATCATGGCTATACAATATTGTATATATAATGTATTCCAGAAAAGTAATGTATTCCAGAAAAGTAAACACACACAGGAATGTCCTGCAAAATCTAGGATGGGCAAGGAAAAGCTTTTCCCTCATTTGAATAATGAATAGGAGTGTGCTGGTGTGTCTTTTTGAGAGGAATGCCCCTGTTCTATGAATGGACAATATGCCACCCAGTGTCATGTAACATCCTTGGCCAGATGCTAATGACCGCTTGTGCTAAAGGCAAAATTGGTCATGCTATTTTTAAGTCACTTGACACTTCCCACCACTGCCTCCAAAACATTAACTGGGGCTAACATTTCAAGGGATTATCTCAGCTGACAATGGTTTATTTTCACAAATGTCTCAGAGAATTAAGTTCAAGAGAAATATATCTATTGTTCATGCCTGGTGCTGGCAGAGTGCTAAGAAGCCAGCACTCACCAGAAAGATTGACCTTCTGGCTTTCAGGGTAATGCTTTCCCAACATTTGCAAAATATGTTTGAATTTGGCCCAAGAATAGTCTTTAGAAAAGTGCCATTCCTCCCTCCTCACTATTACAGTTAGGCTATGTGTCCTGCATTGAGCAAGTTCATTCTTTTCATTGCTCCTGATGAAGACCAGAGCAGTCAGAGCAGCTTAATATTTTCATTCTGTGTCCTGAAAAAAAATACACTTTGGTCTCATCAAACACTGACAGTTTAGGGTTATGTATCAAAAACATTGTATT